AATGTTTTAGTGACGATGTTTTGCAGTGAGAAATATTCAATGTGTTATGTCTGTTTGTCTGTGACGGAACTATCAACTCTTTGCTTGCATCTCCTCATCTATCGTATAAAATGTCCACTTAAACTCTGATATTTGATGTTAAGCATTTCCAACTAAGAAAATAATCTATTTCCAAGAATTTTGTTGATTGCTCTGCAAAGAATTTCAAGAATGCAATATTATTTTTGTAAAAGCTTATTTGCCTCTAAGTTTAAGAGAAGGGGAATAATTCTAAACAAGTTCATGAGATCATTCTGAAGAAATTCTGTGAAAAGTTCTTTGCAATTATCAAAGTTATCTATCTAGATATATCAAATATTTAAAGATTTCGAACGCAGAATCAAATTCAAGATCATAAAAAATGGGAATTACTATTTGTATAACGTAAGCAAAAGTAAATTATTCAAATCACTTCAAATGCTCTTCATAGGAGATTCTATAGTGAGATTCGATTAAATAAGAGGAATTTATGAAATTTGATTTTAAGTTCCATGACATACCGTATTTGAATTTCTAAGTTACCATATAAATGGTTACTTATTTAGTATTTGTGACCAAATAGTGACTTGTATTTGGTCACTTAAGTCACTACTATTATATCGCATCAACCCTGAGGTTAGAGTGGTTTAAAATATCGATTCTGCTCCATCAGGCTCTGATAAAACTCTTAAAATGTGAGCTCATTTGGATGGCCCTTTGAAGTTTACATGGGAATTATCGTTCTAGCAGCCCTTCACTGTAATGATCTACGGAAACGGTTGTTATCTATCCAGCTTTCCATGCTCGGTAATGGCGGCCTGTTTGTATGAATAAATGTATCCTTCACTGTGCTTTTTGACCCTAACTGGAGGGCGTATGTTGTTCCATTTTCTACTGTTCCTGGGAGAGGGAAAGGGAAGGGGTTGAAATTCGAACATCCAGATAGTGTCAAAAAGCACAGTGAAGGATACATTTATTCATACAAACAGGCCTCCATTACCGAGCATGGAAAGCTGGATACTAATGAAATATCACAAGCTACAACTTTGTTGAAGACCGCATTTTAATTGAACGTCAAAATAATTAGTTATGATCATTCAACTGTTCAGCAGGCAAGATTGGTGTGCTTGGCGCGAAGAATAGGACAAAAAATCCTGAAAGCCGTCGATTAATCAGATCAGTAAATTACCCGCTTCGAAATCAATTAATAACTAAGGGGTATTTATTAACCAAGTAGACAGTTTAGGGGAGGTTGGCAATTATTCACGGCCCATGCAAATTTTAATAATTGTTGGGGGGAGGAGGGGTTAAGAATCTCAAACTGTCTACGTAGTTCATGAACAGCCCCTAATTACTTTGGGGTTTAGTCAAAAATTGGTATTCAGCAAAGTTGCAGCTGATTAAGTTTCACATGAGAGCAGATCGCAAGCTTTTCCGTACATCATTATGGTGAAGTGCTAGGATGTTGAGCACATAAAGTTCACTCTTCCCATAGTAATTCCAATATGAACTTCAAATGGCCAGTGCAGTTTATGAGTTCGTATCCAAATACACTCAATTTTTGGGAGAATGATCAGGATCTGATTTAGAATGTATAGCCGGTGGAGTAATATCGATATGTTGAACCACCCTAGTGTAGGTATTTGCTCCATGCTGATCGATTAACATTTGAAATGGGCGTATATTATAAGGAAAATTTTCAATGTCGCGTGATTTTTAAGAGCTCCCAATTTTCATTGCACAGTGGTCCAGAATGCAGATTTAGCTGGAATGATATGTTTTGAGCCTGAAATTGAAACTTTAGACTAAAAGTCCCTTCTACAAAGTTGTTCCTTATAGTTAGGCCCTCATTTTTATGACAATGAATTCTAGGGTGGTTCCTATTATCATTAAAATCAAAAATCTAACTTTTTTGTTTGAATAAATTAAGGCATACATTTTTCGGCAAAGTTATAGCTGAGCTAATTTCAAGCAACTTTGTTGAAAACAACTTTTTTGTATCTCTTAAATTGGCCGATTTAGAGCTATTTTCTTGAATTGAGTTAGGGTGACTCTTAAAAAAACAGTTTTTTTGCTCTATTTTTCTTATTTCGAATTTCTCAGCAAAGGTGTCTTCAGATAACTTTTAGATCTTAAGAAGGCGCAATTTTTTGCTGCACAAAGCTTGTCAATATCTTTCGCCGATCAAGAGTTATTGACGTTTGTATACTAAAAATATACACTTTTCAAATGTTAATATCTCTGGTTGGGGCAAACAAAAAAAAAGTTTTTTTGCAGCATTTGAAAGGGCGTATGTTATTCTTCATAATATTGGAGGTATGTTATTTTTTAAACTCGTATAAAATCAATTTGAATTTATTCATATTTTTTACTATATTTGAGTATATCTTTTTTATTAGAAGAGATACAGGCAACAAATTCAGCTATAAAACATTCGTCTTAAAGAGTTTTAAAAGTCTCTAGAAGATGACTTTCATGATAAATTTCAAATAAAAAAGTTATTGGCAAAATATGGATTTCATAGGACCACTCTAATGACAAATTTATATAAAATGTGCTAGTACATTTGTTTCAATATTTGGACATTTAGTGTCTTCGAAGAAGTTTTTGTTCTTAAAAATTCCCTTCTTTTGGTTTTTGCAAACGTCAGGGTGGTCCTCAAATTAGGGAATTTTTAAAACTAACTTTTTTGTTCTACAAAATATAAACATGTGTTGTTCAACAAAGTTGTAGATAAGTTATTTGCAAGCAACTTAGTTGAAGAAATCTTTTTTCTATCTCTTAACGTTCTCATTTTAGAGTAATTTTTCGGAGTTGACTTAGGGTGTTCCTGGAAAAAATAGTTTTTTAGTAATAACTTTTTTATTTGAAAATTCGCAAGAATGTTATCTTCTAGAGACTTTTAAAACTCTTTAAGAAGAATGTTTTATAGCTGAGTTTGTTGCCTGTATCTCTTCTAATAAAAAAGATATACTCAAATATAGTAAAAAATATGAATAAATTCAAATTGATTTTATACGAGTTTAAAAAATAACATACCTCCAATTTTTTCATATTATGGAGAATAACATACGCCCTTTCACATGCTACAAAAAAACTTTTTTTTGTTTGCCCCAACCAGAGATATTAACATTTGAAAAGTGTATATTTTTAGTATACAAACGTCAATAACTCTTGATCGGCGAAAGATATTGACAAGCTTTGTGCAGCAAAAAATTGCGCCTTCTTAAGATCTAAAAGTTATCTAAAGACACCTCTGCTGAGAATTTCGAAATAAGAAAAATAGAGCAAAAAACCTGTTTTTTTAAGAGCCACCCTAACTCAATTCAAGAAAATAGCTCTAAATCGGCCAATTTAAGAGATACAAAAAACCTGTTTTCAACAAAGTTGCTTGAAATTAGCTCAGCTATAACTTTGCCGAAGAATGTATACCTTAATTTATTCAAACAAAAAAGTTAGATTTTTGATTTAAATGATAATAAGAACCACCCTAGAATTCATTGTCATAAAAATGAGGGCCTAACTACAAGGAACAACTTTGTAGAAGAGACTTTTAGTCTAAAGTTTCAATTTCAGGCTCAAAACATATCATTCCAGCTAAATCTGCATTCTGTACCACTGTGCATTGTTCGTATTTTAACACTTCTAAATAGTTTCTCCAATACGACTTTCACGAAACATTTTAAACAAAAGATTTAGAGTTAAAAAAAAAACTAACATTTACACCTTAATTCAATTCAAAAAAATTATTCTAAAATGAGAGCGATTAGAGATAAAAAAAAAACTTTCACTAAGTTGCTTGAAATTAACTCAGAAATTAATTCTCCAAATGAAAAAACAAAGTTCATCAATTAGGGGAATTTACGTATTCTCGGCAACCTAAGGAGCGATCATCTTTCTATAGCCTTTTTATCAAAGGAACGCACACATTTGCAATACCGGTTTGTTTACAATCTTTTGTTGCCAGCTGCTCTAACAATTTCTGTAGAAAGAATTGTCAAAAACTGTTTTGAAACGCTTTTACAAAGCTCCAATCTTCTCTAGTGAGAGCGACTATTGTGGGCAACATCTTTTTATTCGGCAACCTTTCTATTTGAGCTGCGTGTTAAACAGCTGTGCTTTCATCGGCAACTCGAAATCAGTTTCATTTCAAGAAAACTCTGCTGGATTGCTTTTTCTTAGTGGTAAAAATATAATCAAATTGAAGCTGAAAGCCTAAAAAACCGTCATTTACCCTAATGTTTACAACTACCAAAAGAAGAGACATTTCAAGCACAAAAACTCGTCTGAATATCACAGCAGAAGCCATGGGACTGCTATTCCGGCTGAATTCCAATTCTGGACCACTGGTGTGCAGTGGAGGTTCAAAGCTAATTGGAGTCTGCAAAACCATTTTTAACCCTCCGAACACGATGCCTCCGGTAAAATGTGTATCGGCAAACTTGCAATGTTTGAAAAATCAAAGCACAGCCATTAACTGACGAATTTTACATCTATTGGCGCCATTTGAAACTACAGACTTTAAAGATTCATTCGGTGTCATTGGATTTAAAATCTATCGATAAATTGATGAGCAATGCTTTTTTCAAACATTGCCAATTTTCCGTTACAAATTCTACCGGAAGCATCGTGTTTGGAGCTCTAAAACTGGGAATTTCTCGCATCATTGACCAGGAAAACTGGGAATTGGAGATTCAGTTCCAACCCTAACTGCTGATCTGCCTTTCCAAATTTGAATAATAATTGATTGATTGATTTATCTTTATTAGGGAGGCTTTCAGCCTGGGGCTGGTTCACCTCCATTTTTGAATAATACCGATGCTGTAACTATTCAAATTTCGGCTCATGAAAAGAACCCGAACTCTTGTGCTTTAAATTTCACGAAATTCTGACACTCCTCTTGTTATGGAGCAAGCCTCATCGGAATATTGAACATACAAACTTTTTCCCTCCCCCCCTCATATTCATGTCGTGTGTGTTAGGTGGCATAGAAATCAGCAATAACCCACCACCGGTTATAATAGAAACAGCACCGGCGGCAGAAGACGGCGTAGGCGAGAGCCCCGACGACGACCACCATCATCAGGAGCAGCTACAACCGCAGCAGCAGCAGCAGCACCAGTTTTGTGTGGGCGAAGGTGGTGGTGTACTGCTGACGGGACTGGAGACAAGCGGATTTATTGCTGCTGCTGTCGTTGTCTCCCCCACTTCCACTACGTTCTGCGCCAGCACCACCATGGATATCGACGAAGAGGCAAAAAATCTGCAACCACACTGCGCAGATGACGAAGAGGCAGACGAAAAAATGAGCGTTGACAATACGATGATACTGGACGGCGAAAGCTCGACGGCAGAACGAAACACGAGCTACATGGAGCCGGATCAGGATTTCAATGGCACCGGCGTCAGCAGCGCCAGCAGCAACAGCAACAGCGAGCTACTAGCAGATAAGAGGAGCAAAAATGAATCGCTGAAAATCGAAGAACTGCAGAAAAAACTCAGCGAGGCGGAACTCCGCGAGGAAGCCCTGCTGAAGCGGATTACCGACAAGGACAAAGCCATCTCGAAGATGAGCGGAGTGGTGGAAGCGTACGAACGCACCATCGCCGATCTCATAACCCAGAAGGAACAGACGACGCAAAGCTACGAGAAAACATGCGAAGCCCTCAAGACGGACAGTGACATAAATGCGCAACATTTAGAATCGCTGGAGAAAACCTTCTCCGATCTGCACGCCAAGTACGAACGGATGAAGGTCATGACGGCCGAGTACAAGGAACGGGAAGAGGAACTGGTCAACGAGCGGAATCGGTGCGAGGAGAGCCTGCGGATGCAGGAGAAGCGCTACGAAAACATGAAAAGCCACGCCATGACGCAGCTGGAAATTGCCAACAACAAACTGTCCGAACTGGTCCGCAATCATGCCCAGGAGGTGACCAAGTTGAAGGCCCTGCTGAAGAAGGAGGAAATCTACCGGGCCTCGGTGAACGAACAGCTGAGCCAGAAGACGCGGGAGAACGAGGAATTGGTCAAGATCTGTGAGGAGCTAATCAACGGAGGTGCTAATTGAGAGCGTGAGGGTGGGACGTCGTTAGTGGTAAGAGTGAAATCGAGAGTGCGGTTATTCTTGTAATAATTCGGTTAAATTAATTGAATACAAACAATGTAACGCTTGACATTGGAATCGTGAAGTAATCAATACACATGTTAAACTTTCAACTGGAGTAGGAAGCGAGTTTCCTTCTTTTTTTTTCATTTAGCTATGGATGTCTTCCAAATTGCCCTTGTGGGGAAGCGGGCGAGCGACGACTGTTTTTGTGTGTTGATTTTATTGATTGCCTTTTGCAGGAACTTGATGCGTGCCTGAGAGCCAAAAAACTGTGGTCAATTTCCATCGAGAGCAGCGTGTTACTTTAAAAGGATAGTAGGTAGTGTGTTACTAGTAGCGGCCTCGTAGCGGTGGTGAGTCATTGTTTTTTACCGTGACATCAACCATCAGAAGGGGAAATGTTATGCTGCATCATACATTCGCTCTTCATTTGTGTCGTTTTGGGAAAGGAAAGATTTTTATTCAGAGGCTTCTCCTCATTTGTGTTTGATAGCCGTCGAGCCCTACTGAATTTTATCCCAATCCGGACGAATGAACAGTGAGTCACATATTATTTTGTCGTCTGTAAGTCAATATCCTACATCGAAACACTATTGAGTAAAGGTATTGCTCCGAATTGGACTTCACCCGTTGAAACTTCTTGAAATAACTAACCCCCACATCTCTATCATCCGACCCGAAACAATAGAAACGCAAAGCCACCCCATCCAAGAAGGAAGAAGAAGAAGAACCGAAGCCGAAACGCGGTCGCGGACGGCCCCCGAAGAGGGGCGGTCCCAAGGCAAAGCCCAAGACCACTACATCCGGCCGGGGTAGAGGACGCCCGAAGAAGGTCGCCTAAAAACCGCCCCCTCCCCGTTCTTTCCTGTTTTCCTCAAACGCTGACGCAACAACAACATCCATTTATACGCGATACAATCCAATCCGTTAACGTGACAAACCCCGACCTGAGTTCATTAATCTCACAGTAATAGAGGCAGGTGAATGTTTTAAATGGGTTACCTATAAAAGTTGAATATTTTGAATGCCATAAACAAACCAACCACGCGTGTGTGTATTGTCGTTGCATCAGTTAAAATATTTCGTGTTTTCAAATTGAAAAACCGATCGTTGTAATAATTGACACAATTAAATGGCATTTATTATAGGCGCGTCAAAATCATGGAGCATTTTTTTTTCTCTAAATCAATAGGCTAAAACGACGGTAATCCAACATTTGTAAAGGAATAGTTAGTTGAATACGGCAACATCTATCATTTTCATCCCTCTTCTTATAAACGGCGGTTTCCTAATACTACTAGTTCAATAATGACCGGAAGTGTACCTTTTTAAGCTAGTTTTTGTTTCTCTCTTGATGAGGTCTTGCCTAGTATAGTAGAATTTGTGTCGAGCAACTGCAAGAATAGGTAAACACGGCAAGGAGATGCATTTATTTTAGCCCTTTTTATCATAATCTAACAATTTCCTTAATACAAAGCTAGGATTTGAGTCGACATCGTAGGAAAAAATGCAAAATTCTAGTGGTAAATAAAGGTTCAATACCTGGTTAAAGGTGAAGAGGTTTGTAGTTGCATTTTATTTGTTTATGTATAGAGAAACTCTTAAATGTCCCGTCTTTTGAACAGTCAATGAATGAATGATGAATTAATCAAGAGTTACTTGCGTTACCGACCTATTACGTGTTGCGAGTGAGATTGGGTGACTCTTTATCACTAGGTGAAGTGGCAAAAATTCGTTTTGAACACTCTTTCGAAAAAATCGAGCTGAAAATTCGTCAGTTCGTGCTCTGTAAGAGTAAGTTGTAAATCTTGAATTAGGAATACTGTGTGTGCCATTTTATTTATTTGTCAACTATGCTGTACAGACTGAAAAAACTGAACTCTAGAGTCTTAACATATTTTTCGTCACATTTTGAGATCTGAACTTTGGATGGCAGTGGGTGGGCGGTGCCGTCCACGTTTGTACGGGGGGAGGACTGTACGCTCGAGCACAAGGGGTAAATACCTGTGTTCCATCCCAGGAGATCGGACAACCAAGGAGTGTACATTAACTTTCTTAGCTCTGTCACTCCCAACGATTTATATAGCCTATTTTCAAATCCTGCATACGGAGCGGTTGGTACGGTATGTCCCCGCTCTTTGATTACCTGTGGATTAAATGTTAACCACTGTCTATACTTATTAAGTAGACATGGTAAACATTCACTTCCACAAAAATTAACTAAACGCTACACAGTAGGCCTGGCCGCTTTATTATTTGTTTCACATCCTTGATGTGCAGCAGGCATTAATAATGACAAGAAAAATGATAGATGTATCATTTTCCAGGATTCTTTCAAGTACTGGCTGTGTATGTGTAGACTAGACTAGACATTTTGAGATCTGAACTTTTTCAGCTCCTCCACGTTCCGTCATCGATCTGTACTCCACCGTAGATGGTACGCAACACCTTCCGTTCGAAAACACCTCCACGAGCATAGCCCCGGTTTGATGGCCGTCTAATCACCGTCTTGTAGATAGTCAACTTCCCTGCCATAATGCGTCTTTGAATTTCTCTGCTGGTATCATTTTCGGCCGTCACCAGTGAACCCAAGTAGGGGGAGGAGGGGCATAGTGAGCATCCCGTAGTTTGGCCCTGGATCTCTAGCTGCATGAAACAAATCAACTGGCAGTAGGTTCAATATCATTATGATATTGATCCTACCACCAACCAATTTGTTCCGAACGGCCGGAAGTCCAAGCTGGTGCACGGGATGCTCACGATGTCCCACCTGTTCACTATGCTCATCGACCCCCTCGATTTCGTCACCGTCAATCTGAACTCGGGGTGGGAGGCTAACATTGAGGCTTATTACGGATGTCACTTCACGGTGAAAACTTGTCACTTGTCGTCACGGTGAAGTGGTTCCCATTTGATTTGTACGGCAATCACGGCTCTTATTATGAGTATCACTTCCTTATCACCGTGTAGTGACACCCGTAATAAGCCTCAATGTCTTCCCTAGAACCTCTTCCTTTCATGTAAGGTTGTAAATACTCATTTCAGCTAAAACAATGTTTTTCTAAATTATGTAATAATAAGATGCCATGATCAAATTTTGAATTGGTAGGATACAAGAAGAGGTTGCAAAGAATGTGTTTGACATATTAAACCTGTTTATTTCACTTCATGAGAGTCACAATCAGCGATTTTTCACAAACTCACTCACTCACTCACTCAGCGATCAGAAAATCGCTGATTGTGACTCATAGAAAGCAAAATTTACAGGTTTTATGTTTCCAACGCATACTTTGTAACCTCTTCTTGTAAGTTACAAGTAAAACATGCCATCATACCATCTTTTGGTTTTATTATTCCGAAAAACATTATTTTAGCTGAAATGAGTATTTGCAACCTTGCTTTCATGTATATTTTCTTTGATGCGTTGATGGCAAGTCCAATCCGTCTAGCTTCAGCCTTCAGTCTGATGTACGTTTCCGTCATCGTCTCAAAGTTCCGTGCCATGATGTCGATGTCATCGGGGAAGCCAAGAAGCTGGATGGACTTCCTGAAGATCGTGCCAGTCGTATCTATCCCAGCTCTTCTGATTACACCTTCTAACGCGATGTTGAATAGCAGAATTGAAAGTTCATCACTTTTAGACATTCAAAGGGACTAGATCCATCGTCGCCTTGACCAATCGCGTCAGCTTATCCGGAAATCCGTACTCGTGCATAATCTACCGTAGCTGATCTCAATCGATTGTGTCGTTTGCTGATTTGAAATCGATGAACAAATGATGTGTGGGCACGTTGTATTCGCGGCATTTCTGCAGAACCTGCCAAATCGCAAGAATTTGGTCCGTGGTAGCGCGGGAACCCATGAATCCCGCCTGGTATTGCCCCAGGAACTTTCTTGCATTTGGGAGAGTACCTTGTAGGCGGCGCTCAGCAGTGTGATCGCGCGGTAGTTGCAGCAATCCAACTTGTCGCCCTTTTTGTAGATTGGGCATACGACACCTTCCATCCACTCCTCCGGTACTACATCCTCCTCCCAAATCTTGGCAATTACCCAGTGCAGTGCTTCACCACCGTATTTTAATAGCTCACTTGGTAGTTGCTCTACACCAGTTGCTTTGTTGTTCTTCAGCCGACCGATCTCCTTCTCAACTTTTTGAAGTTCAGGTGTCGGTCGGCCCCAAGGTCTGTGCCGTGCCACCTGCACTGCATCACCTTTAAAGTTGCTCGTCATAGTACCAACCGGTGGAAACTAACGATTTTAAATTGGCTCACTACTTGACTAGCCTATTGGTCCCAAGCAAATCGATTAACGTACCCCATTCTAGTCGAAATTCTAGTACTACACTATGTTTGTTTTGATTCGCTATGAAAGTTTGACAGATAAAATGAGGGGTTTTTGGTTTTTCCTATGTTTCGAGGGGTGAATCGATTAGCTTGGGACCGAAGAGAGTACCAGAGCTGAGCCAAAAAGTTGAGCACGTTATTTCGGGACCTTCTAGTCTTAGAGTTACCTCTATGATATTACTAGAGCTGGGCCAAAAAGTTGAGCAAGTTTCTTCGGGACCTACTAGCCTTCGAGTTACCTCTATGACCCAACTGTGTCCATGTTTCAGCTGGTAGTCTGTTGTTATCATATGACTCGGGGAGGCGTGAAGTAGGAACTTGTTAGGACCAGAGCTAGGTATTCCGCTCCTTCCAGGTTGTCAACTCACCATTTTGTAGCCCAGGAGAGGATCAAGTCTATCAGTGACTTTGTGGAAAACAATTTTGTCAATATCGCGCGAAAGTCTGTCAGTGACTATGACAAATCTCAGTACTGCTCTGGACTTCTTGTCGGAAGTTTTGTGAACTTCTTCTCGGAAGTTCTCTGAACTTCTTCTCGGACTTCTATGATGTATGCAGATCAGTGTTGAGATGCTTAGTGTAATTTAGAGAACTACTGAAGCTAGTTGAAGCATAGAGGTAACTCTACTAGAAGGTCCCGAAATAACGTGGTCAACTTTTTGGCTCAGCTCTGGTACTATCTTCGGTCCCAAGCTAATCGATTCACCCCTCGAAACATAGGAAAATCCACTAACCCCTCATTTTATCTGTCAAACTTTCATGGCGAA